AGAACTATGTACTCTGTAGGCTACAACACATAACATGACATAAGTTCCTGAAAAGTAAGAAATATAAATCTTTGTTACTCTTAATTTTGGTTTTATTTGCTCTTAAAACAGAAGACTTTTGGGGACACTGCGGAAGTACATCTAGTAAATACAAGTATGTCTGCATTTACTATATACATCCTGATGAAAGCCAAAAACAAAGTACGAAATATTGGAGCATCCTAAATGTCGTTAAATCTGTTTTTATGTTTACAGAGGACAAATTAAAAACATATTACATTAAAAGCATTCAATAAATGCAATCCTTAAGAATAAGTAAGTTTTTATGAAAATGAATACTCACAAGGAACTTTTTATTCTTCTTGGCATCATTAAATGTCACCACCTTTGAAATGTCTGTTTTAGACCTATAAAATTTCATTAAAATTCATTTTATTAGAAAAGTTTAAAAAATGTTAATTGAAAGTTATTGAGTTCCACATCAATATCTTAAAGGCTTAATAGAGTTTAGAGTTTGAATGTTCAAAATATTACTTTTAATGAAAAAAGTTACTGTGATTTAAAACAAGAACAACTTGCTTTTTCTCACTATTGGTAAAACAAGTTAAATAAAATATTGTATTTATAATAATTTAAGATAATGTATACGAAGTTCATGAATGTGCAGAGAAAGAATTTTAACAGTCTACGTTCATACCCTTTTTTCCCTTCAGGATTTCCGATGAACTTCACAGATACCTTTTTCAACTTAGGGTAGACTTTGTGTACCTATAATCGAGAAAGATTAAAACATCTCCCTTTTTATAACCTAGTGTGGAAGTATGTCATCATATTCAACCTTTACCTGCTACCAGTGAAACTGTTATACAATGTTTTAACTGTTTTACATACAAAGTACAGGATAGATATACCTGGTATAGAAGTACGTCATCACATACAGCCTTTACCTGCTACCAGTGAAACAGTTATACAATGTTTTAACTGTTTTAGTTGAGATAAATTTACAGCTCCAATTGAAGGGATGATCTCTTAATTTAAAACCAAACGTTACAGTTAACACAAACTAATTAGGGAAATTATAAATTTGTAAAAACTGCAAAAACTTTATATTGGATTCAAAGAAGCCATTATTTATCGACACTACAGAAAGTAAATATCATTTATACCATATTATTATATAGTAATGTTTATTAACCCTCGTTCTAATATCTTTTCCTTCTACTTGAGGTATGATACATTTCTGTATTTTTATACAAAAACCTGACATTTCTTTTATCATTTCAAAGTACTGTTGAAAAATTCACTATATTTTAAGGCATATTTTTTTTTCTTTTTAAATCAATATTACATTAGTTATATTCTTTACATAAATCAAAATGATATTTACAATTTCCCGTGAAGAATCATAACCTTTTATAAACATTTATGTCATCCATTCTAAACGGCTAAAAATAATATAAAAACTTTGTGTTCTGTAAAACAGTCCACAACAATTAACTTTTAAACAGCCTACGTGATATTAATATCTATATCACACAAAGTACTTACAACAGCTGGCCACCACAGTTCTTTCAAGTCAACCCATACAACATCGTCTTTATCAAATCCAAACGCTAGAAAATAACATATTATGATAACAACAAATGGTTTACTCGTGAAATATATTTTTTTAAGTTTTAGTGATCTCAAATGGCACTATCTTCTAGACTATTACCATTATGATTATATTTTGATTTATACTAATACATGTACTTTCTGCTGCTTCAATTTATTCATACTGAGAAGAAACTCAAAGAAATGAAATAATGCCCATTTCAATTAAATCATACATTTAGAAATATATAAACAACCAGATAATGTACCAGTAACAATGGTGAAAGTTTGCGTCGTACTATGTTCTTTTTTAATTCTGTAACAGTTTACAAGATTTTAATGTAAGCTTGTTCCACTGAAACTAATTATACAAAAGTATATATTTCCTTAACACAAAATAAAACAAACTCTCTTGTCAAAAATACATCACTCACAATTTTTTGATTTAGTACTTTGTTGTCAAGAATAAATCGACCAAGAATAAACACGAATCTGTAAAATTAACAAAATTACCAGTTTTTGATTGGTGACTTAGAAGTGACATCATCATCATCATCATCACTTTCTAGCAAAAGTAAGTCTTCATCACTGTAAGAAGAAAATTATTTATATACAAAAACCAACATGTTTCTGGAAATTGTACATTTTTCTTTCGTAACAAAAACCACACTGTGAAACAGAATGATTCTTTAATTTCATCATGGCCATTCAACATTCATAAGAACTCATTTAACACTCGCAATGTGCTTCTTTATTTGTGCCTAAAATTCCAACTGTTTGTATTCTGTATTAATGTTTTTATAAGAAAGTCTCAAACCATTAGCAGGCATTATGTAAATGAACTATTAATACAAATTATTTATTTTTATAAAGCATTATACTAATCAAAATAGATTTTATGCCACAGATATTTCTATTTAAACTTCTGAAAACATTTGGCATTAAATATGCCTGTACACTTTTAAACCTTGTACTTTTTCATGGGGGGGAATTATCAGCCAATGATAAAATATGTGTTGGCCCTCTTTTGCAAAATTCAGAGAAAACTTTTTGTTATTAATTGGAAAGGAAATGAATCGGGTATAGTGATGAGCATGGCATAACATATAGAACTTTTTGGTCCATCTAGGCTATCCTATCAACTAATTTAAACTAAACCCTAAATACTTAAAGGCAGCTTTTATCATTCAAATATTTATCACAAGTTCCTTTTAACTCCCTTATATTAACTGCAAACCTGTTCTAAAGGTCAAATTAGTTGTATTAGGAAAATAAGACTGTCATAACTGAAGATGATGACCTCTTCCCTGCCAGAATTTACATCTGTGTTCCCTAGTCTTATTATTCTCACCATTAAATATGAAAAAAGATGATGCATCAATACTATCAATTCTCTTAACAATCTTAAACACCTCAATCAGATTCTTTTTAACTCTTTTTTTTTAAGAGAAAACAAGTTCAGAGATCTTAACCTATTCTCATATGATAAAACTTCCAACCCAAGTATCATCCTTGTAGCCCTCCTCTGAACCCTTTCCCTTTTCAATATCCTTTCTGAGGCAAAAAGCTCAAAACTGAACACAATACTCCAAATGTGGCTTAACCAATCACATTATTGTGTTTGTTTTCTTATAGTAAAGCCACATCAGGCTATCTGCTGTGTCCACCGAATAGAACCCCCTGATTTTAGCGTTGTAAATCCAAAGACTTACTGCTGTCCCACCGGTGGACATGACATTATTACCTCTTTAAATTTGTATTCAATATTTCTGTTGATACAACCAGATCCTATTTGCTCTGCCACTAGCAACAGTACCTTGCTTGGATGGCTTACAAGATTGATCAACCAGAACACCAAGATCCTTTTCTTTCATACCACCATTAAGGTTATTCTCATCAACATTATAATCATAATTCAAATTGTGATATTCCACATGCATTACCTTGCATTTATTATAATTTATCTAAAATGAATAGTGTTATACAGTCTCATAATGGCTAATAACCATAAGCTTCACTCAGTACTTACTGGCTACTTATTCAGTGATTTTTGTATGGTTTTGTGTAATCATCCCTACCTAGTTTCAGTACTTTTTTGGTACTGCCATCTCTTCATCATACTTAATTTTTGCTAATTTTTTATTACTTGTTCCCCCTCTTTTTTTAAACAACTTCGTTAAAGTAGGTTGATAAGTGAACATTTGTTTTATTTTTATAATTAAATGATAATATATATTGTTAATATCATATCAGTTTCTCTAATTATCAATTACATTGCGGAGAAAGTGAAGTTGGAATGGTTCTTCCAGGATGGTACAAGTACTCCAGAAAACTATATTGATGTTAAGAGAATATTTACAGAACCGACACCTTTCAACTTCACGATAACTAACTGAACGTGCATACAATCAACTCCACCATGTGCTAGGGTCATGTCAATTAATAGGGAGGACACCATACAGATCCCAGGCCATGAAGTATGGTACCATATGTACACACACAGCTGCCGGGCTTGGCCACATTGAAAAATTGAAGAAAAGTAGACCGCTATATGATGTATTGTTTTGATAATTAAGAAACTGGTGTTTTTAAACTCAAGACATCAATAACATGTACATATATCTGTTAGTTGGATGAGTACTTGATCTCCTTGATACCATGAATATTAATTTAGATCATTTTTTCTTTCTTTCTTTCTATATTTTTAAAGAAACTGTTTTGGCAGATATCATGTTTGTGCAATTAACTCTTTCAACTCAGGCTCGGTACCTGGGACTGAGCTCGTAACCATTTTGCGCTTTTTATAGTTTTCATGCTATAACTTTTAAATTAGTTAACAAATGTTAACAAAATTTGGCAGTTTATCAGTAAACATTACAATGCTTTCATATGCAAAATATCTAATTTTTTTTATTAAGTTTTAAGGTTTGTAAAGCAATGTTTCTCTCATGCCTTTTGTTTTCTTTTCACATCTTGCCTATCTATCATGCAAAGTAATTTTCCTTTATAATATTTGGATAGTTATCAAACATTTCTTAAGAAAAAACTTTATATTTTATTTGTTATTTGCAATAATTAATCTCTGTATGGGTTCAGTAAGTTTGACCAATCTTGCAACCAACATAAAAAATGAAGATATAAACATAAATTATGCCTCTTTCATTCTAGAATGAACACACATATTATAACACGAAAACATAAATGTTTAGATGAAACAGCTTAAATCTCATAACATTATATATTTATTATTATTTTTATTTTGACCTTTCACCTGTGCCTGGCTAACAATACAGAAGTTACAGCGACACGGCTCATGTGCACTCATGTTACCATAACAAATAATATAAAACTGACCTTTAGTCTTTACAACGTGACTTGTCTTGGCTGTGGACTAGTATTTTGTAAAATAAAGTCATATTTCAGTTATTATACTTTATATATGAATGTAGATTATTACTATTTACGTACAAGTTCTTAAACTTATTTTTCTTAAAACATAGAACAGTAAATGAAGAAGTAAAGCAAACAATTATCTCTTCTAGTTCCAACCTTTATCCTCAGTTGCTGTTTGTTGTAGCTTGCTAAGCTTTGAGAAATTTTGCATCTGGAGGATGTGAAATGAAATAATTTTTTTAGGTTTTATATGTACACTTGAATAACCAAAAAATCATAAATTACTACATGAATATCATAAAATTCTACTATAATTCACCAAACTTAGTAACTAAGCTATATTTGGGTCTAAAAAAAAAATATGAA